GTGCTTGGTATCGTTTTTGATAGTTTCAGACACGTTTAATCGTCTGGAACGACTTTAAGACCTACGACTTGTTCTACCTACCTCGATATTGGAGTAAATTAATCTCCAAAAAATATTATTACTTTTAATCCTTATAACATTCCTTTATTAAATTCATTAATCTTAATTACATCAGGTATAACTTTAACATGAAGACATAATTGTTTATTAAATAAAAAATGTATAATAACTAATATTATATTATTTGTAACAATTTTACTAGGATTATTATTCTCTGGAATTTAATACTTAGAATATTATGAAACTCAATTTTGTATTAATAATAGAATTTTTAGATCAATTTTTTTTATAATAACTGGATTTCATGGATTGCGTGTAATAACTGGAATTATTTTTTTAACAACATGTTTTATACGAATAAAAAATTACCATTTATGTTCTCTTCATCATTTTAATTTTGAAAGAAGATCATGATATTGACATTTTGTTGAAGTTATTTGATTATTTTCATATCTATCAATTTATTAATGAAATTATTAATATTATATATTGGTATTGTAAATTCTGAATACACATTCGAATTTGCGTAAGACACCTGATAGATCCATTAGTTACTAACTATTTAAGTAAATATTTGCGATAAACTGAACTCACATAGTTTCTTGCACTGAATGCTGTCCCGTTAAAATAAAATATATGCACAGTTAGCAAATACTGAGGAAGTTACGTTTCCGTTTTTCCCCGATTAACTTTAACCATTTGCTCGAACACGTAATCACTCGTTGTTAATTTCTGCGATACTGTCTTATCTATAGACTTAAGTATTCGTTGCATTTTCTTCGCGATAGTTTATTAATGCATGAATCGCCAGTGATTCTTCATGGTTGCAATGATCGCTTCGCTGTAACGCGATAAAACGTTATTGCCCCGGTGGCGGTTGCACTGGTGTAAGAACGGAAAAGTGAAATCGCGGTCACAGACAGGGTCGTGGAGCAACACGAAATCGATTATCGAGGAAATTACCATAATATCATTGACGTTAAATCGGTTCTCATTAAAATGACGAATAAATTTACGTTTGAACAGATATGTTAAAGCATCTCGAGAAAGAGAATCGATGGTATGCGGTTTGTGAAATGTCCTCTAATTGTTTCGATGTTCAACACGAATATGTGATGATTGACATAATACATTCAATATTTGTAGTTAACTTAGTAATCGAGATAGCATGTTTCAAAGAACTTTAAAACTATTTCTACCAAGATGTGTCAAAAGACATTTTCTAAATTATTCTTTAAGGTGAATCATTTCTTTACAATTAATTTTTTGACTTTTCATACAATAGTTGTTAAATTATTTCTGCGATGTCATTTTCTTCCAGCTCATACTAGATCTAAAATTTATCTACATTTAACTAATAAATGAAGTTTTGACAATTATTTTCATTCAAACGAAAAGGTGCCAAGATACCTTTTATATGAAATAGATTCGCATAAAATCGTGGTAGATAGTGTTAATTCATAGTGATACAACATAGTGAGCACTGAAGGGCACTAATTGAGTAGTTAGTTCCTTGATTAGAAAGTTTAAAGTTTCTATATCTCTGAAACTTTTATTTTCTACATTTCAGAACTTTTAAATTTTTAAGTTTGAAAATGACCGATTTTCTGTATTCTCAAATTTGAAAACAAAACTTCTGTATTTCTGAATTACTAAACTTCTAATATTCAAAGTTTGTAATTTTGTAAATTTCAAAGTTTGATATTTTTGCATTTCTGTATCTGAATTTTTAAATTCCCACTTTCACAACCTTCCACATTTCTAAGTATGAAGCTTTCGTAACTTTGAAAGTATGTATTTTCGTAAAATTTTCAATCTAATATATCTGTCGGGTTTATAAGAATTTGTAATTTGTGAATCAGTACACAAATTTGAAATTTAAGAATTAAAAAATTTGAAGATATAAAAGTTTGAACTTTCTATGTTCCTATGTTACTTTTATATCATTTCAAATGTTTTACAATTTTCAGGACTTATATGCCAATGTACTAACAAGTGTAAAAATTTTTAGTTTTTAATCTTCAAAATACAAGCGCACCGTTTTTGATTATTTTAGAGATACATTAATTCCATATTATAGTCTCGATAATACATGAATAAAATTATATGTATCTCGGTCTCTGATATTGTCACCGAAATTATCTCGTTCATAGGCCATTAATAAATGGAACACCGAATAATTATATCCAATATCTCGCTGAGAAACAATTGCCGATAATTATTTAGCATCTTCATATCTATTGGCAATGAATGATCACAATATACGTATATAGCTATACATAATACATCAGTAAAGCTGTTATTTCGACGAAATGCTTTAGCGGCACAGCTTTTTTTAATGCAAATGAGAACGTGATCGCACAATAAGCTAGTGACCTATCCCCGTTAAGATTCCACGTAGCAATAATAATCAATCGATACAGTGGTTCATTTTATTCCGTATTGTAATCACAATGAAATACTGAATCGTGTTATCACGTATACATACGTTGACCTCGATTCAAGTATAAATTATTGTTACATTGTCGAGGTTTGTAATCGGTCATGTGAAGTGTCGACTTGTTTGCAATACGAGTCTTATTTATTAGAAACAAACTCTGACACTGTTTGATAACATAGAAATATCGTAAAATACTATTAGTACCATATAATAATTTGCTACTTAAAAGTTTAATGAAAATGACTGCACAATTCTTTTATTTATTTTTTAATTGTAATTTAGAGACGGACGAAAAGTTTATTTGGATCTAACTTTTATTTTCTTAATTGTAAATAAGAATGAAGGTAATTAATCACTATGTGAGTATAGTAATTTTATAGGAATATTAAAACCAATTTAAAAAATACGGAATGAAATACAATAAATAAAATAACACTGTTAAAATAGAATTCTTAACAAATATTACATAGAACTTTATTAACATTACGAATACTGTACATGTCACAAATACTACAAATATTGTAAATACTATAAATATTCTAAACGCTATAAATATTACAAATATAAATATTCTAAACGCTATAAATATTACAAATATAAATATTATAAGTAATATATTATAATCTTTGCGAAAATTTGAATTCTTCTTTAATCCACTAACATCAACATTTTGAATTTGGCGCTAAATCTCAAGCATTCAAATTGCATTTGTTGCAGTTAGTAACTCTGTCAATATATGTAAAAATTCTTTGGTATAATTTTCTTTTGAAAGTTATATTCTCATACATTATTTAAACAGAAGTTTAATTAGTTAGTTTCCTTCAAAAGTCGCAGAATGATTAATACAGTTTATGAGTTTTACAAATACATCCAAAAAAGCAGATTTTTATATCGGCTTCTAGAAACTGACAAACAATAATAGTGAATTAAAGTTATCCTATTTGTTAAAAAATACTTGAATTTAAAAGTATTCACTAGAATTTTCCACTCACGCTTATGTAGGCAAAAAATAAATAGAATTGATGGCACACATAATACTATTGTGATCGTAATTCATGTACATGCTACATCTATCTCTACGTACGATCGTTGTAAAGACTGTTCAATAGAAAACTATGCATCGCTATCGCTATTTAGAATGACAATAATGTCAAGAGCTGGGTCATCCTTGAAAGTGGCACAGAAAAAATCACATAAGGTGGAACAATATTAAGCCATTATTCAGTTGTGCTGATAAGACGATTAAGCATAATTTTCATAAACGATTCTATAGAAGCAAATTATAGTTTCTATTTTAGTCCCTGTCTCTCCTAGTAACCTGGTCTTAATGTTTCTTTACAGCTTCTTAAATTATGCCTGATGTTAGCCTTCGTGAATAACGTACACGTCCTTCTCGAGGCTTTCCCAACATCGTTTCATACGAACAGTGCAGGTTCGATTGCAACTCGTGTATTCGATCGTTCTCAATTTACTTTTGGGAGAAGACGATATATTACTATCCGTGATCGTTTATTTCCTCGTGATCAATCACCCGTTTACTCCACGATTTTCGAATATTAAATCTTCGGTTCTTTGAGAACGATGGATAGACGATTGAGAACGAGAATAATAGTAATTTCTGTTGGTCCTTTTTGCGTAGCTGAACATGTAAAATATTATAGAAAGTATAATATACTACGTATTGTGCAGGGTGTCCCAGTATTTTTCTGCCAAAGTTTATTGACGTATTCCATAAATAAAATGTTAATATTAACATACGATTTTAAACTCTTTATTAAAGCGTGATGGAAATACATAGTATAGATAAAAAATAACAGAATAATTATACATATAGGCAGAAATATATTAACAAATGTGATAAACAAACAATATTACCAATAAAAAAAGTACATAGAATGCTTGCTTAATAAAAACAGTGTGTATATTTGGGTTTATTTTACCTAGTTTAAAAATCTTGCTATCTATTTATTTAATATCCCATATAATCAATGGTACACTTATTGAGAACCATATGCATAAAACCTTCAGAAATGAAATTAAGATAAATTATAATTTTACCAACATCACTCGAGTTCATTAAAAATATAATCGCAGAAGATGATGAAATTATGAGGATAAAATTTCCGAATCTTTGAAAGGACGCAAAATTACGACCGCGGATGTGTCGAAAATTATTTATGATTCTTTAAAAATATGTCGGTTCTTCTGCCATTTCTACAAATATTCTCACCCGATTCGAACACGTTCCATGAAGTTTCAATATTACATTTCGTTCTTCAATTTCACATCTCTGATGTCGTTTCCTTTTATCCCTCTTGTTCCCTCGGTCCCTTCTTCTAAATCGTTTTTCTACCCCCTTCTTCTTCCTTCCCATTCATATTTCTTTTTTTTGCACAAAAGATAGTGAGAGAGACACATAGCGACAGATGGTGTACGTGTGTGTGTGTGTTTACGTCGTCTCTTCACAACTTCTCGTTTCTAATCTCCGACCTCTTTTCAGCCCAGATGAAAAGGTTGAGGGATCAGATGGCTGGCATTTTGTCACGTATTCCCGAGCAAGATGTGCCCTGGAGCAAAATTCCTGAAGGAGCAAACACCACTTCCACTACCAAGGTGAGTCACGTACGAACATTACTATAATTTCCATCTGGCTCGTTTGGCTAATCATCAGTTAGCTGCGCTGACAAATTTCTTATCTTCTGTTAGCGCTTTGCCACCTGCAGAGCTTCCCTTTGTCTTTCACTTCGTCGAATTTAAATGCAAGGAAAATTTATCGGCATCTTATTACTTTACAAATTTTTAATTACTTGGAAAATTAATATGCTTCTATAAAAATATAATTTATCTTATTTGAAACGACTGCAACTTATTTATGTAATTATAACTTATATAGTAACAAATATTATACAATTATATTATGTTATACAATTATTATATAATTATACTTATACAAGCAACACAATATAATTATGTTATATTATACGCTTGCAGTTTACACAGTTACAACTTATACATTTTAATACAATTACAGCTCATAAGTCAATCCAATTTAATTTCAAAACTTACTGTCGACGCATATATTCAACGTATAAAATAAAAAATTATACAGTATTAGCTAAAAAAATAATTCGTTGTTAATAATAGGAAAATTTATCTTAGGGTTGTCATCTACACTCATAGTTTAATTTTAATTACACACCGCATTTTTTAAACTAAGTTTTGTAATAAGTTGGCTAAATATTTTAATGCATGCATGCATAAAAAATTAGTATTGACATATATTCTATATTTCGAAACCAACTAGTGATTTTGACATAAGTTGACATATATTCTAAATTTTGAAAGTGATAAAAGAACGATTTTGTCCGATATCTTAAGATGTATTAATAAAATTAGATTTGAAAGTGATACACAATTATTAAGAACATAATATGTTAATGAAACATTTAGGACAGTAATAAAATGTCATTGTTTAGTAATTCTTCGCAAGATACGCATCTATATTTTTATATGCTTTCATACTTTCCGAAGTTTTGAAGTTGGATTGTAAAATTAGGATTTGTAGCATTCACTTTAGTTACACGAAGAATTTTTCAAACAAGAAAGCGTGAGGAAGTGTTGAATCTTCGCCTTAAATTCTTGGAACAGAGAAATTGCATTTTTGATTGATGCCGCCATTTTTCAACGAAATACCGCGAAGTTTAACTTATAAATAACGGTGTGTCTTAAATGAGAGACACAAGTTACATAAATAATAAACTTTAGTAATAATACATGATTGTATATGAGTGATGTATCACTCATTGTATTTTTACAAATGAAATACATATATATTTCGATAACATGGTACATAAATATTTTACTTTAACTCGTCGTAAATTAAACGTAAAAACTTTTAAAAGATTTACGTTGTTAAATAAAACAAGGACATAATATATTAAAAATGAATAAAGCTATATTATTCATGTAACTCGTATCTTTTGGTTAAAGCATTCTTCACAAATTGAATTTTACAATGTAGGTTTCACTAAAACATGTCGTAAACGATCTAACCTGGTTAACTATTTGGGGACACTGATTAGAGGACCTCTATTTGAAGCTCGTCATTCCACTGAACACTGAACAGAATTTCAAAACTCCTTTTTGAATCGTTCAGCCATTTTATCGTTTCAATTCACTTTTGCATGAATCATTATCGCTTTTTTGCATAACAGTATTAGTTGTAGTAGATATGCAGTAGTGCAGTTTAAAGAACAAAATTGCAATACAATTAAATATAATGACATTGTAAATAAACAACACTGTATTTTTTAAACACTCTATGTTTAGATTTTATGCATTTAAAATGGAAAGAAGAAATTATACTTTATAGGTTGCGTTTGATTTCCTTTATTTTTAACAGTTCCCTTTAATAATATTTTTGTTATTATTTTGTAATGAACGCAGCACTTGTATAAGTACCTGTAGCAAGTAACATTGATGTCTTTTATTGCCGATAAATGAAATTGTTTTATTTGAAATTTAGAGTTCATTATTGTATGTGAAATTTAATTAATTAGATATAGCCAATAAGTAAATTAATGAAAGATAGAATATATAACTTCATTAATAGGAATATGAAATCGTAACAAATGGCGTACAAAATGTCGATAGGTTACACGATCGCAATCCTTCAAACTGAAATAATATTTATAATAACACTAAAACTTTAATCATCAATGTCTAAAAAATGTGTTTGTGTCCATACATGTCCCAACTGAGTATGTGTCCATATTATATATCCGTAAGGAGAACGAAATTTATAAATGCGTAAAGTTTCAGCTGAATCTTTAGCCCAAAGGTTTTACACTCTTCTTGTTCGTATGACCAAAATATAAAATATATGAGACAAAGTACTTTCATCTACCAACATATAATGTACACTTACTTTGAAAAAAGAAATAATTGACAAATAAACAAACGATAAAACATAAATTAGTATACACGTTAATTTGTTATCTCAGTGAAAATCAACATATATTTTAAGAAAATGACTTCACCAAATTTTGTAACATAAAATTGCTTTTTATGTTTTTTAATTAAAATGGTCATTTAATTGCTTTAGTAGTTCGAAGTAAAATTTCTTTAAATCTAAGGGAATATGACGATCTTTGCAGGTCATCGATGGACACGTAGTGACCATAAACGAAACGACCTACATGGATGGTGACGATGAATCTGGAATACTGATCCGTGTCCGTGTTATCGACGTGACACCCCAAAACGAAACGATCCTTATGACCGAAAGCGACGCAGATGCCGAAGTAACCACTTTACCCACCGGTGGTATGGTGACGACCAGCAAAACCGTAATCAGCAAAGAAGAGAGCACCACAGCGCCGCCAAGAAGTGTGGAAACCATGGAAGATTTCGATAACGAGATACCGAAGAACCAAGTCGACACTCTAAATGCTTAAATGTACAGAAGAAATGTAAACAGCTTAAAATATATCTGTTAGCGTCGGAATCTACTGAATCTGAAAGATGGTTCTTTTTATGAAACTTGCGTGTAAATCTTCCATTAAAAATTAACGATTAATTTGTACATAAGGAGATTCAAAATTTTCTTATTTGTTGTTGATTTATAACTCTTTATTTTTCAATGTTCTTTTCTTGCATTTCAACGAACTTGTTGTTTTGGTAAAAATAGAATAATTGTTAATACCATTGGTAATCCATAGTTGAAATGCAAGAAATAAAATTCTGAAGACTGCTGTAAAATGATTCTAATGATTGAGAATAGAATATTAAAATACTAGATACTATTAGAAATCTTAATACCATATTAGCGAACGATATGTAATTCATATTAATTACATAGTCAAATAACTAAAAATTGAAATAGAAAATTCTGTATTTCTAATATACTGTAAATTCTGTACCTACTAGTAATGAGAAATAACAAACTAAAATGCTAAAGTAAGAAATATTAATATTCTTATTAATGCATACTTTGAATACTACTTGAATGCATACTTGAATACAACGTAATTAATGCACTTCCAACTGGTAAATATGTCACATCCCTTTACAATAAACTAATGATAGAAGTTTAAATAGTTTAGCGACTTTTTCGACTCTATATTTTATACAAAGTGTCCTGTGTACAAGTTACTATAATAAAAATCAATAAAACAGCAAAATGAAAGGGGATTTCCGTCCGCCGTTGAACCTTCTTTCAGATTCAGTCTGACGATTCGTGTGTGAGGATACACCGTGTAAACTTTCGCGAGATAAAAGAGTGTCAACTATCGCAGAGCTATAGAGATGATATATGCATTACATATATTTACATGTTTCCCAGTACTTGATAACCGTATAAGTCGCATATGTATCGAAACAGAGATCGCTGTAACGATTATTTGAAGACGAACTCTACGGGTGGTATATCATGTTCTGTGTAGCTCCGTTATGCGACAATCCTGTAAGATAAAGATGGGCATTATGGCAGGAACAAGATGTACAGTTGAAAATCCAAATAGAGTTGCGATGCAAGAAGCTGCTTTTAGACTGGTCTAGACAACCAGGTCGATAGGAACATAATATCGGATCGACTTCTTGTGTCTTATTTGTTTGACCTTTCAAGTACATATCTTGTTCGTACCCTGATACCCACCCTTCCTATAAGATGTACCAGAAGTAGTGAGACTAATATAATTTACTACAGATTGTACTATCTATAATAATTCTACAGTGATACGGTTTGAAAGGAAACAGGAATATTTTTCTCGTTAAAATATTTCTTTTACGTTTCTTCTGAGTTCTATTTTTCCATTCTCTACTCTTAAAAGCCTATTAGTAAGAGTATAATTTTATACGTGTATATTTAGCTTACTTGTAACGGTCAGCCGTATTTTATTTATGCTAATAGATAATTGGGAAAAAAACAAGTACAATGCTTGTCTGTAAGTAGAGTGAACAAAGTAAGAGTAATTAGAAAAGTGCAATTTGATATTGAACAATTTAAAGATAGTTAACGATATACTTGTTCTCGTTAATTTTTCGACTGAGTTGGGATCAAAATAAAGTTGTAATAGAATTACAAATATATATTTTTTAATAAAAGAGAACGTGTTAGCATAATAAATAAATATAGTTGGCATATTACGTTGATTTTTTCCTTTTCCCACATAACAGATATTTTACTCAGCACTAACCTACCGGCGTGTAATACTCGCTTAATTTGAAATTGAAAATAAAGGAAAAAGGTAAAGAAATAAACAGTGAAACATAAATTCTTTATCTTGAAGGAAATGAAAATATACAAATTTTTTAATTGAAAATATACTTGTGAACTGCTCATTTTGACCGATTTGACAGTTTTAATATTAATTAATTATTGTTAGAGTTTAAAACCTCAATGAAACATTCTTAATTTAATCCTGAATGAACTCAAGTAGAACGAGTACAAATATTTTTAACGAAAACTTAATAGAACTTAATAAAATTTGATTTGAAGAATAAAATAGTTTTCTTTACTTCTTATGAAATCTTAAATTATTTCATCAGTAGTTGTTTCATGAGTAATATAAAAATAGAAGATATGATATAACTGAAATAAGAGATAAGTAAAAAAAATTTTAAAAAAGGAACTTGTAGACCCATTTAAATAAAAATACCTTACATGTGCCATTACCCTCTCAGTAAAAGGTATTCTCTAAACAGTCATAAAACCAGATGCAACTTAAATATGTTACAACTCGTAAGTGGTGAGACTAAAAGAGTATCATGATATCGTAAATTATAAAATGGTAGAATCTTGTATAAAACATAATACTGCATTCATTTGAAAATAAAAAGATAGTCTTCTTTTACTAAGAAAAATAAATTTTCAAAGAAGTAATTTTTTTCTCTTTTTTGACGATCATAGATGACTGTGCGACGCGGACACCCATTTGTGCACTATGCCATTTTTGCTTTCAGAATTCCCATTTTACATGATTATTCCCGTCTAGGCTGCCAGGATGGTTTAGTACGATAGGATTCAATAGATCCCTTCAAAAATGATAGACTAGAGACTTCCTTGTACGTACGGATAGTACGTACAAATTTTCGGTAAGTAGCATTAATATTATGCAGAGTCAACAAACACATTTTTCTATTACTTTCCTTTCATAGCTCACAGTACTAATTTTTTACTTTTACGGCCGTAAAGTGTCCAGTCCAAATACAATATTTAGAACTTTTGAAAACTGAGATTTTTAAGAAATTAAGAAGAAAAAATTAAACTTGTTAGAAGCCGATATTGATTACGACACAGAGTTAGCAATTGGATGTTAATCCAAACACAATTCAAAGTTTTATTAAAGTAATATTATTACGCAACAAATCGATGTTAACCCTTTTTACTCCTTAATTTCTATTATCTGCCAGTTCCTTCATTTACAAAATAGACAAAAAAGAGGTTCTCAATAAAATATATTGCAATAGTGTGGAGTATGTGACAAATACATTTTTCATTTATTATAAATAGTAAATAAATCAAAATATATATATTCAACCAATCTATTTATCTGAATTATTTATAAGATCCAAGAGAAATTTGATATCGAGCAACACTAGACATAGGAGTGCAAAGGGTTAATAGCACGGTGGCAACTACACGATAAAACAATTTTTCAGGACGGTATTCACATATAATGTCATGATACTGTACAATATTTTGTTTATCGATTAATGTATTGAGATTACGTTCGATAATTTGTAGTATACTCAACAAAATTAAATTAGTTTTTGACAATATTGGACATAAAAGCCTGTATGCGGCGGTGATGAGAACCGCGTCACTCTCATACCTGTGATGCTTACAATAATTATCGGTAAATCAACTAACGGCATATGAAGAAGTATATAATATCCAGAATATTCTACAAGATTGTTAAAATGATGACATTTTTATCTAATAAATATTGCTAATAACAACAAATTTCAAAGACACGTATTCTCTATCTTAGTCCATAGTTTACATACACAAAGTTGCAAAAAAATACTTCAACGTTTCGTAAAAAAAATTTAAACGAAAATTCTGAATTTTCAAAATATTATTTAAACAAATAAAGTTTATTAAAATTTTGTTATGCAGAAAAATTCTCTATTAAAAGACCCACGATTCAGAAATAAAAGCTTCCAATTATCTCTTTTAATTCCGTAGATATTCTCAAAAATATGATTTCAGCATTTAACTTTGAGGGATATTATCATCCCTTCAATGTGAACGATGATTGATATAGAAAAAATACGTGTCAAATGTTTTCTTGAAAACTATCATTCACATAAGTTTCATTGAAATCTTAATAATATATATAATTCATGAGTGAAAATGTTATTTACGTCATATACCTATTTAATGGAAAGGAGTCCTAGTACCCTTAAGAGAAAGGAAAAAAAATAGCAGAAATTATTTTCTAATTAAAATTCATTTCTAGTTAGCTGTTATAATATATGTATAACACAGAAATATATAATAATCCATCAAAATTTATTTCTTCTGTAAAAAACTGTAAGTATAACAATATAACATGTATTGTACTATTTTAGTTTATTAACCCCTTGCACTATGACTTATTTGTCAGGTGCGTCAGCCAAAACTGAATAATTACAGCTACAGTATTAAATTAGACAAAAAAATTTGAAATGTTAAGTCAATATGTTATAATGCAATCGTTGACTATGCAAATTATAATTGGACTTGAACTCCAAATTGAAGCGTAAGTTCGAGTAAAATTGATCACGGCCGAAGTACGAGTGCGTCACGAGTCAGACTCGTCAAAATAGTGCAAAGGGTTAATCCTAAATTGCTAAAAGCCTAAACTTTCAAATTTTAAAGATTCAAATTGTTAAATTTCCACAGTTCGAAGTGTCCTAAACTCCAAATTTTAAAATTGAAAAATCACCAAATCTCTAAATTTCCAAATTTTCTAATTCTGAAATATTGTAATTCCAGTTTCTAAATCCAGAAATTCTCCAATTTCCAATACTTAAAATGTTCAAATCTAATTTTCTATCCATAATCAAAACGTGTAGCAAATTTTTTGACCTTGGTGATTCTGATGTTCTATAAATTGTTCTTATTGTTAGAATAAAAAATATTCGATAACTTCAAAAAATGAAAAATCACTGCTTTACGGCATTGAATCATCCGTATAAAACAATAAAATTAAGTATCACATCATTTTTCAATTCTAAAAAGCTTACTTATTCTGATTATAATGAAAACGACTTCATTAAAATAAATGTATGAAAACAAATTTACATAAAGATACAAATATATGAAAAATAACAATGCTGAATTACACATCAAATTTCTTATAAACCTTTCTTTCGTCATCAATTATTCATTGGAATATTAAAAGAATCACTGTAAATTTTTCAAAAAATTTATTATAAAATATATTATACCTTAATTAAGTACATATTCAACTCTACGTACGTGAACAATGTTTACGTATAACAACTACGAATGCAATCAGTCTCAGTTTGTCGAGCTGACCGCGAACAAAATAGGGACAGACAACACAGAAATTAAAAAGTCGTATCTCCTTCATGATAGTTCATGACTGAACCACCAAGAATAAAAATTGTTAGCTGATCTCTCTACAAAATGAAAACCTATACACTCTTTCCAACATTTGAGCGTGTCATATATATATACATTGCTAAATACACAGAAGTCTAGAAGTCACACGTCAAAGAAAGAACTAACGCTTACTATCTCTTTAAAAGACGTGCGAAAATTCATCAAAGTATTACAAAACGGTCGTAACAATTAAAGCTGAGGTTCCATTCATTCCACCGCTGTTATGCATTCACACACTAATGAATCGCTGGTATTGTTTTGTGGGCATTAAATAGACATCACAACCACAAACGTAAAACTTAAATGCGATAGGGAACCAAGTTAGCGTACTGCTAACTCAGGTAGACTAAAATGTATATAACCGATTCAACCGATCATTAACATTTTCCGATTAATAATACATATACGTATCGTTTTTATACCCGGTTTTACATAATAAAAGAGCTATAATGAATATTAAAGCTACCCTCTTTTGTTACGAATAGCCAACATAAGCTGCTTTCTTAATGCCAATTTATAATTAATTTTTATCTACCGCTTATATGTAATTACATATTTCATTAGAATGTCTGAAATTTAGATCAAAATGGCCCCAAAGTATCAGTCTTTTGGTTAAAATTTTGTTAATTTTATTATACATAGTTGAGCATAAATCTACGAAGTCCGATATGGCATAGTAAGAACATTTTACGTTCCACAGCCAACGACTTCTATAACAGAACTATTAAAAATGCATATAATAACTTAAAGGGCATTTTATTCGAATATTTTCTAAATACCATTTTACCTAACAACACGTAATCTTGCTTAAAATATTATTTAAGTTATAGTCGTTAATTCTAATTGCTATATAAATACCAAAAAGAGAACTTAAAATCTATTAATTCGAAACAAGATGAAACAAAAATCACACAAGGAACATATATTACTAAGAACTATATAAAATAATCTTGCTTGAGTAATTATTCGAACAAAACGCCCAGAATCATAAAATCAATAACTACACTCTTATAAGTAGACATTAACGAAATTCTTACATTATATGTGCTACTATATTCCCCACTATATGCAAATATAAATTGCATCACTCTTATATCAGATACCCTAATAATAATACTTAGCTGTAACAGAACAAACCTATGACGTTTGATTATCAACTTCTACATGACCTTATTCTACAAATTACAAATACTTTACTTTCTTTAATTCTACAGTTCATAAAATGAGCTGTTACACTTCTTAAGCTCCAATACAATAAAGTATTCATTCCGGTTTTTTCTTATTTAAAAGCAAACAATTTCATCAAAGAAATAAATAGGAACCAGCCTATAGCTTATTTGCAGGGCAGAAATGGATACAAAATTAATTACTTGGTAAATCGTTAAAAATATGGCAGTTCGGGCCAATTTAAAGAATTTAAAAATAAAATATGCCGCTCTTTTTCACGATAAAACGATTGTCTTAGAACCTATTTGAGTACTAATATCTCAATCATAATAACATTGTAAAACCATTAAACCATTACTTTTCTTTTCTTTGCATATGCCACTTTAACCACGTTCACAGTTTCCATTATCAAAGTATCCAATATAGTTACAGTGAGACCATTTTTTACCGCGAGTTCATCGTGATGGAACTTCGTCCATTCGTCTTCCTCGGCTTGGGCCTCTCTAGCCAACAATTCGTCGACTCTGTCTCGTCGTTTTCTGCTCCAACGCATTACCATATTTTCCCGTTGCAGTTTCGTCTTGAAACCAAACAACGTGGCCACCTCTTTGTTCACATAAGCGTTAAGTTCTTCTATAGTTTTGGGAATTTTCATAATTGGTTTCGTTTTCACGTTTGGCTTCGTCCAACTTGGACCCGGTTTCTCGTACTCGGCTTGATAAACTTCAGCAATCGTTTCTTTGCACAGATCAAACAGAAACGTATTATAAATTCTTCTATCTTTCTTTACAGTCTCGTCGTTCTCTTTGGTTAACTCGCATATTTCCAAAGGAGCTTCTAATCTCATAATATCTTCTCCAGCTTCTTTAGCTTTAAATATTATCGCTGTAGCCTTTTCGGTGAACGCTGTTAGTTCGTCTATATTAGAAGGAATTACAGCTGGAGGTGGAGAAGGTGATGCCAGGGACGTAGAAATTCTTCCGCCACCACCAGGTGGTGTGTAGGGTGGTGGTGGTTTATTAGGAATTTCTCTAACGTAATAAGTAACTTCCTCTGCCTCTAACTTTTTAATCTGTTAAAAAAATTTAAGTTCGAAAAATGATTGTTATGTTCAAAAAGTATAATTAAGTGACGACAAAGTGAATCTTTACCTCCAATTCGATTTGAAGTTGTTCAATGCGAAGCAGTTTTGCTTCCCAATCCGCAACTTCCACGCCAGGTTGTTCCAATGACGCTATGCAACGAAAAATGTAAAATATTATAAAAATTTGAAAAGTTTAATAGATAAGTTTTCCAGGAAAAGCAACACGAATCTTTACATTACATTATCAATTCACATTTTACTCTGATTAGGTGCTTTGAAAATTAAATAAAAAAATGTCCAAGTATGGATAAAAAATCTGTTTGATGCATTAATAGTATAAAGCTGTGATAGTTATACATTCCAAGTAATATTTATGTATACAATAGTAATTCTCATTTCAAAATACTTAGGGAAAACAAAGAAGGGATAATGTTTGATGTGTGTGTTGTATTCACAATATTCACAGGCTTTCCTTGTGCATACAGAAATCAATAATTAAAGGTCAAGCACTCATGCAACACTGATTTGTACAAAAAGAACAAGTCAATGTTTTATTTTATTCAAAGTTTCGTGTTGTATTACCTTTAGGTAACTATTATCTCGACTTTGCTATTCTGAAAATAAATAATATATCGCTATACGAGGCAATGCTTTGCACAGGAATACACAGCCATTATAAAAATCAGAACGTGTCTCTGTAATGTATGCAATATATAATATGAAATCACTGATTACAAGATATTTAACACCTTACCAGCTAAACAATAATACTCTTACATGTATCAATATCTAATAAACGATGAACAGTTATTTAAAATGTCATATAGTAGCTCAAGCTGGTAAACTGTTAATATTACATAAACATAAACAAATAAAATCAATTTGAATTTAACTAGCTGCATTTAACAAAATTCATATAACCATTCAGTAGCAATGTGATTTCAAATATAATCATGAACTAGATATTTGAAAAATGTAACAAAATCCAACTTGTTCCATATATCAAAACTACATTTTGTATATCCTTATTTAAATGACAAAATAAAAATTAAATTTGTATAGAAAAGAAAATTATACCTTTCAATTTATCTATCATGACCTCTATGTCCTTTTCGGATGTCGCAACAATAGGCGTGGCATGGTATGTGTTCTTTGAGTCTGCGTTCTGATTTTCCACGTTAGTGTTATTTAATAAATCATCATTTAATGCATCGACATCTAATCTCGAATCATTAGGATCACGGGAAGAATCTATTTCAATTTCTGATACATCTTTTGGTGTATTTCTACATTCACTCGATTCGGATAATGCATCTTGTTCTAGCTTCTTCTTTTCCTCATCGTTCGAGCTAAGTGTTATGTCCTTAGAAGCTATTATTTCAACTACTTCGTTGTCCACATTATACATCAGTGATTGATCATTTTTCTTAAGAATACTTCCTACAACTTTATCATCAACTTCCGAAGACATAATATCATCCTTATCAGAAATTTCTGTTTGTGATTTCTCACTATCTTCAAGGGCATGCTTATCATCGCGAAATTTATTTACATTATAGTCTAAATCCGTAGATGATTTTTGGGTGATTTCATCAAGTATTTTCAGTACTTCCTCAGATTTATGTATTGCTTCGTATTTTTCTGGTATAGACGACGGCTTCTGTATAACAGCAGATTTTTGAAGTTCACTTTTATCAAATATTTCAGACACTTCTAAACTTTCTTCTGAGATGTCTTCGTATTCAGGATCTTTCAAAATATCAAATGTTTTATTTACTATGTTGTTAGGTGAGTTGGATGTAATTACTTCATAATGTTTTGCTATTTTAAGATCATCTGCAACTGCAGAAATAAGTGTATCTTTTTGGCTCTTTATTTCATTTTCCGAAACTTCAGTTATTTCAATATCAGTTTTATGATGTGATATAGAGTCCGATTCAGCAACCGAATCTATAAAATGTTCTATTCGTTTTTCTATAACATCTAATCCACTTTCAGCTACTTCTACTAAATTATCGAGCTGTTCACCATCAGAACTATCTTGCTCTAATATAGGTTCTAAGGAATTCTGTTCTTGCACTATTTTTACTCGTGTTTCTATTTTCTCTTCCTCATTGTTTATTTCCATAGGTTCTTCCTCCGCCAATTCTATTTTAACATCAATTTCAAGTTCTGACAAACTCTCACTTTCCGCACTTCCCGGTTCTAGTTCTGTTATAATAATTTCTTGTGATTTATTTTCAGCGTCATATATATCTTCATCTTGTTCAATTTCTGTATATAAATTAACACCCGTAGTAAGATCTACATGAATTTTATTAACTGTTACATTTTTATTAATATTTTCACTGTTTTTGATATCCACAGAAACAGGTTCTTCATTTTCATCAAATTTCATATTATTCTCATTTTGTAATACATCCTTTAAGTCAGAATTGCACGAAATTAATTTAATTTCTTCATCTTCAGTAATTTTTACTTCGTTTTTATTTTGTAGAACATCCGAATGACTTTCGATTTTCTCTTTTATCGAATTATCCTCGATACTTTTCTCAACTTTATCTAATATTTTAACTACAGAATCATAAATAGCTTTTTGGAAATCATCAGTTTCAATACTGTGCACGGTTTCATCCTGATCTTGCTCCTTGTAACTATACGTACCAATTATATTCAATAAATTATTAACTTGTTTATTACCTTTTTCAATGTCAGAACCCAACGCTGTTTCATGAAAGTTAATGTCATGTTGATCAATATGTGAAGATTCACTCTTCGGTACAAACGAGAACACATCTTCTACGTCATTAACTATGTTCTCTTCCGAAATTTGATGTTTAGAACTATCTGTTAAATGAGATACATCTTTTGAATAATGGGATTTTTCCCAGGAAGAGTTTGTAACATCTTGCTGAATATCAAATGAATCTGATATAGTCCAATTATCTTTATCAACAGAAGTTTTATCTATAGAAATTTGTTTTATTTGACTATCATGTTTGTCTATTTCTTTGCCGTTAAAGCTTATATCATGATTAGATGTGTCATATTTAGACGTTTCAAGTTTTGTTGGCGATACTTCCAAATCTACATGTTCATCATGTACAAATAAAGCTTCATTTTTATTGTCGTCGTTAAACTCTTTAGATGTTAATTTGGAACTATCTCCTTTTGATAGTGGAAGGACTTCACTTATGCTTTGTTGCCTGTTATGATTTGTTATGTCGTTTGTATAATTTTCCAAAGATTCTTCGAAGTTCTCACTTATTTCAGTTGAATTTGAAGCTTGTTGAGAAATTTGTTTTTCTGATAATTTAGTTTCACGTTCTATGATTGGTATTTGTTTGGCAATATTACGTGTCAGTTTTGCCGAGGTTACATCAGCTGTGTCAATAAGTACATTATTTACTGTATAAATATTTGATGGCTTATGATCCTTTTCTATTAAATTGGACACTTCTAAAGACGATGAAGAATTTTTATTGAATTCTAATGAACGATGACCTTCTGAATTACGAGAATTAATTAAACTTTCCGCAGCATTTATGTCAACGTCTTGTTCAATGGAATGTGCTTGCTGAGATTCTGAATTATTTGCACTTTCTTTACCCTGAATTGACCGTGAATAAATTTCGGACAATGATCTTGTATTATTTTCATGTGCGCTTATATCATTATAGTCAGTTTTTATTTCTGAACGATTCACATCATTCTCGCTAACTTTAATATGTTCTGATATTATTGACTTTTCAATTTCATTTAAGATTTCTTTACTTCTTGCTTCATAATCGATTTCTTGATTTGATTTAGAGAAAGATGTTTCATCTGGAGGAATTATAGCAGAAATAACATTATCAACCTCTTCTGCTATACTTTCACGGTCACTAGCAATAGTAGCCGATTTCAATTTTGCACTATTCGTAATGCATTGTGAAGTATCAGAAGTATTCTCTTGTTTATATAATTCCGTGTCTACGCTCTTATCCTGTTTTATAATTTCTATATTGTAAATTTCATCATTTCTGTCTGATTTGGATAGTATTTCTGATATATCCTTCGACGTGCTTTTCTCTTCACTTTGCAATTCTTGTTTTCTTCTTTCATTTGATTTGTTATTAAAACGTGACATCATTTCTGAGAGTATCTTCAGTTCATTCTCCAGTGAACTGATATCTTCATTCAGATTTTGATTACTTAGGCAAAGGAAGTCCAACTTCTTAGAGACATCAAACATTTCGTTAGCAGATTTAGCGTTAACTTCGACATGAGAACTCTGATTACTAGACTTTTCTGAAGGTACACAAGATTTGTTATCTTGTATTTTGTTAACTGTAGATTGCGATGAAATACTTTTTGCTTTGGATTGTTCAGAAATCGTTTCGAAATCAGATTTATATTCTCTTAAATCCGATTGAATTGTGGTTTCATTTCCAGACAACTTTGCTTCTGATTGTGTGGGTATATCAGTTTCTGATTTTCCACCGCTAATCTCAGTTTTAACTTCTTCCGAGCTATTAGTTCTCTTTGCTTCCGATACAACCGAGTTATTTTGGATTTCATCAACATCGTCTGAAATTGACGACATCGAAGCAGAACCAATTTTATCAATTTCAATTTGTTCTGATATATTTTCATCGCAAATAGTACTCGCTTTAGCAGAATTTGATTGCTCTGAAGTTCTTGTGCGTCTAAAAGATTTAATTACTCTATCTGAATCACTTTTATCGTATTCAGTATCAACATTTTTGTTTCTTATTAAATTTATATGTTTCATGCAATCTTTCATTGATAAGCTTTTTGTACATAATAAATCAGACTCTGATCTGGATCTCAATAAATCATTATTTTTGAATATATCTTGAATCCTTTTTAAAGGAATCTCAGGTACTTTAAAGTCTGCTAACGATTTCGACTCTATCGCTAATTTATCACTATCTTTAGTAGACCCCTTTTTCGACTCCAATTTTCTCCGCATTTCATGAATTGTCGTATCATATTTCTGTTCATACAGAAAGGAAAAATATAATTGTGTACGTGTAACGTTTTTGAAAACTTATCAGGAAATATGTTCACAACTTACCTTAATTTGATTTAACAAATTTGCTTCTAAAGCTCGAAGTTTTTGTTTCGTTTGTTTTCTGGCTTCCCTTTTCAAACGCGACATTTCTATTCGCCGCTCAGCTAATTTTTCAGTCAGTAATTCTATTCTTCCTTCTACATCACTCGTATCAGATGAAATAGTAGTATCTACAAAGGGACATACACTTCTCTCTGATAATTATCAGAGTCGAAAGATACGTAAAACGGAGATATTAAATAACATGCAAATTATTCACAAAGTACACAACATTAAAATTACCTTGATGAGAAAAAACGTTGGACGTTGCAGTTACAAGTTTAAGTGCAGCTTGTTCCATTCGTGCAACACGGTCTTCTTCGGTTCTTAATTTTGCATGCCAAGCCATCCACTCTTCCACACAGTTTTTTCGTGATGTAAGCGCAGCCTCACGTGCGTTTAATATTCTGAAAAACGTAATCACATTCGATGACGCAAACACATTATCAGCAACAATTAAACAAATTATAAAAGGAGAAAATTATTTAGAAAAATTGTTTAGTTTCAAGAATACACAGACGTTCTTTGCTACAGAGAACTACTGCAATAAAAGTGGAATGCACAACGCCGATGCAGTGAATCTATTTTTACAATGCTTGATTTCATGGTGTGAATATACAGTTTATTATTAGACTTCTTACACGTGCGTATAGCAATTCGCAATTTTATTAATTTTGCATAAATTTAATGTTAAGAACAACTCACAAAATTATTAATGCACACTGATTATTTAAAAAAATAAATACATATGTACTTACTGCTCGAGCTTTTTCGAAGTTTTCAAGTTTTGGTCTTGCGATCTGATAACCACAGATTTAGAGTAATTTTTGTCACTCTCCTCAGAACTATGACGAGATATTGCAAAATTACTAATTTGTGACTTTACTGAAACGTTATCCAAACTGTGCTCGCTCTTATTTGTATTAAACGAATTTTCATACGCTTGAACATTTTTATCAAATACTTTCTGACACAGTACACTTTCTTTACTTTCATGATTATCTGTCCCCTCTGTTAATAATTTGAAGTTGTTATCTTTTATAGATTTTGAATGTCTAGTTACTGTTTGTGAGGAACTTTCATCATAGTTCATGTTGTCCAGCAGTGAATTTTCGTTAGTTTTGTCAGATTGAGTAAACTCTTTTTCCATTTTTGTCCGTTTGTTGAGATGTTTAATCAACTCTTCTGATATCTGAGAATTGGATTTAGATCGTAAGATATTTTCCGTAAGTATACTTGATGACGATTTACTTTTTTGACATTTCGAACTTTTGCGTTTAAAGTTTGACTTAGATTCAGAACTATAAGTCTTTTTAGACATCTCGGATGGAATAGATTTACTACTTTTTTTAGAACTTTTTGAATGAGTCTGTAAAATGTCCTCAGAAACTTGTGATGATTTTGACGTTTTGGATACAGTGTCTTGATTAAGAGAACTTATTTCTTCGGGAACACTTTCACTATTCATACCAATAGTTTTTAAAGATTCTCGTTCCCTCGGGGATACATTTTGAAAATGACTATCAATCATCTGAGATTTTGATTTCTTTGATAATTCTTCTATCAAAGTGTCCGACTCTGATTTAATTTGTTCAGATATAGATTTATTTAAATTCTGTTGTAGTAGTTCAGAAACATCGGGAGATTTGTCTTTGTCGAAAAGATATTTTCCAGGACTACTCATGGAATGACTTGACATTAGTGTTGGATCAGCAGAATGCTGGTGTGATTTCAACCTGAAAATATCTGTTTTAGGCATTTTTTCTTCAAACTTTCTTGATTTTATCTCATACTTTGATTTGCTTCCATCTTTCTGTATCTTATAAGGACACTTTTCCTGAGATATGTTACCCTGAATAGATTCGCTAGGTTTATCAAATCTTAAAAATGCTGCATTTGATTCTTCAACAAAATTCGCAAATTTATTACTTTTTGGTAAGTCAATTTTAGAAAAATGTAATTCATTTTCCGACATTTGCATGCGTGTATCTGTCTGAGATCGATCATGCTGAGATTTATCAGAATCGACTAAAGAACTCATAGAACTATTGCTTCTTATATCATAACCTTTCATTGGGCCAGACAATCGCCTTGGAGATTGACTATCTGCGCTCCTTTTTAATTTTGTTAAAATGTTTTTAGTAGACATTTGAGGGTTGAACATATTTCTTTGTTTCTGCAACATAAGTTTACGTTCTTGGCTTGCAATTTTATGTAGTTCTTTCAACCTGAAAACAAAATTATTTCATGAACATGTGCAAACATTTCTTGATAGATTTGAAGTGTTTTAAAATATATAAAATTAATGTACCTGTTCATTTCATCCTTTTCTTGCTGCAATTTTAATAGCAGAGCTCTTTGCTTCTTTTTTACTGAACTAACTCGGCTATCTTGTCCAGTATCTTTTAATGCACGTTTTTGTTCCTCCAACTTTACTAATTTTTTAGTTTGATCATTTAACGTTTTCTCGCGAGATTTAAATAACATTTCAATTTTATCATACCTTTGTTTCTCGTCTTTCAATAATTGTGCAATCTGCATATACATGAAACATTGAGTTCAAGTATCCTTACAATACAAAAATTGCAATTAAATTATTTTACTTACTTCCAGATCTAAGTATTTATTAAAAGAACATGTTACATCTCGGGTGGAAATACTAATCTCAGTTCCAGTCTCAGTTCGTATAGATGACGTAGTTTCGTGTAAGCTTATTTCTGACATTGTTCTTAATTTACTAGGCAATGATATTTCTTCTATTTGATCTAAATCCTCAAATTGTTCTACTGAATCTAACGAAAGTTGTGGGATTTCACTATCCCCAACAAATCCTCTTTCGTACGAAGTTCCACATATCTCTGAACATCTACTCTGTACATTTCGTCGAGTGGAACGTACATCTGTTTGGGTTGCTATATCATTTACTGTTTGAGTTTGTACTTCCACAGCTTTAACTGCTGGTTTACTTAATTTACTAAAATTGTCAAACTTATTTGTCATAGTTTGACTTGTGGTATGATGTATTGTATCTGGAAATGCTTAAATATATAAATAATTTTAATAACAATTAATAGTAATTAAACATTATGACAGGTAACATACTAATTTCTTACCCTTATCAGTAGAAACATTTTTATGTGATTTACTAATTTCACTACAATGTTCCATATTATCAATATTTCTTTCATCTTTTGAGAAATGCAATTTTACTTGGTCGCTCAATTGGCTATGCTGCAATGGTAACTCTTTTTCTTGATTTTGTTTAACATTATATAAACATTTTTCAACATCCATAACCTGCCTCAATGACTCATTAAATGAATCAAGGAGATGCAACTCTGCTTGAAATTGCATATGTAAGGCAGTTGGATGCAACTAAAATTATAAAGTTTTCTTACAACATATTTATTAAATAAAGCAAAAAATAATAAACTTACCAATGAAATTCCTTCTGGTTCTGTCTCAATTTTACCAGTATTATGTTTTGAACATTTAGGATCAACTTCTATATTACTATTTTGTATAAATTGTCTTTTTCGCTTAGAACGTGGTATGAGATTCATATCTGGTGTTATTAAATTACAAAATTCCTCTTGTAGACGATTTTCATCTCTGAATGAAATTCTTCTTGGATCTAGTAATTTTTCAGATAAAATGCTATCGTTTAAATTAGATTCATTACTATTACTTGTTGGTTTAGTTGTTGTAACACTTTGCGTAAAAGATTCTTCTTCCTTTTTTATGTTAGCAGCAGTGGACTGTGATGAATCATCTGTATATTTTAAATCCTCGTTATTTTTACTTGATTTAAGTATATTAATACCTTGTGCAGCTTTTTCAGAATCTTTGTTTTTTATTTGTTGAATAGAGGATGTACTTGGGCTTTGAGTTCTTACAATTGTATTTGAGTCTGTTATACTTTCACCATCTTCAGATTCTTTGGAATTTATAATATATATTTTGTTATCCATTTTATTCATAGAAGGTTTTATCTTTTCTGATAATTTTTTAGTTTGTTCTTTGAAAGGAGTATTTTCATTTTTTCCTTGAGAATGATATATTACTTTATGCTGCTTTAATTGTCTGTTTTCTAATGACAATACATGTTTTTGATCATTAGCTTGTTTTAACATATGTAGATCATCAATGTATCTGGTATCAAAATATTCCATGTTTTTAGACTCTCTAATTGTAATCTTATCTGATAACTTTGAAGAATATTCAGAAAGTGACTCATTACTACAAGATCTATTCTTAGATTCCAAAGAAACGTCTCTTGACTTTAAGGATCGAGTATTACTGGATCTATGCTTTTTATCATTAGCCTTTTTAGCAGTTGATGTTGCAAAGTTTTTTGTTTTTGGTTTAGTTAAAGCAAAATCACTTTCCCTTGGTATATACAATGGCAATCTGTCGCTTTTTAACTTTGTGGCTGACATATTCTCGCATACATTATTAGGAAAGTCTTTTCTAGAAACATGCCTTGGACTTCTAGATCTTTTAAAAAGGTCTTGTGTTGCCTCATCTTGCAATGATAAGGAATCATCTTTTCTAATTCTTTTTGACCTATTCTCTTTTTCTCTAGAGTTTTCTCTAATGTAGTCTTTCTTTCTTGATAAATTTGAAGATATGGATATATTTGGAACCTTCAATGGTTCCACTTCACTGTTGATTGTTGATGAAACATCTGATGTTGAAAAATCTAATTTTCTTTGAACTCGCTCAAAACTTTTTGTTGGTTTATCTACTCTTTCATGAATAAACTCCTTTGAAGGTGTTTCAAATTTTGGTGATATTAATTCTTTTGATACACAGTTTTCTCTATCAGAAAAATCTAACTTTTTTGCAGAAATTTTCAAATCTGGAACTTTCAGTGGTCTTATAAAATCCATCTTCTTTACAATTTCATGTAAATTCTGACAACTTTCAGGCTTTAATACTGTTATAGATGACTTAATTGCATTTTTATTATATTGATCATATATTTTTTTACAAGCTTCCGAACCATTATCTACAGCAAGTTTACGTTTGACAGCATTTATAAATGTAAATGGGTATGGTTGAATAGGATGGCATAAATTTTTTAAATCTTTCAAGTTAAATGCAATTGATAAGTTTGATACTTTGTCCTTAGATGTTTGTTCAGTAATATGATCTTGGTGCTTTTCACATACAAGAGTTCCAGCTGTCTAAAATTATATTTTATAAAATTTTAGCTCAATAAAAATTATGATAACATAAAGCAGACAATTATACTTACTGCAGCAGATGTTTCAGCACCTTGAACAATAACATCTGGATCAGAAAAAAAGACATATTTCTTTTTCTTGTCAGTGTCTTCCTTCTTAGAGTTGCTTTTCATATTATGTTATTTCATATTAATTAATCTACACTTAGTTGTTGTAAATTCATTCATACTTGCAAATATTTACAGCAACTATGGAATTAAAAACATTAATTACATATACATCCTAAAAAAGATTTATTTGCAACATGAAACGTTTTTATTAAAAGTACTTTTTATTTGTAGGTACACTACAAGTATAAATAACTTGTAAATATATAAATTATTTGTTGTTAGTTACTGAATCAAAATAAATTTAAATGTCAGCATTTGAAGTGAAATAAACTGTACAATATGTGTCTTAAATGCATACATTTTTGGAACAATGAAACGAATTTGCAGTTAATCTTAAACTCATTTGCATATTAACTTGAACTTACATTTAAATATTTAATACAATCAGAATTGTATGCAAGTAAAATAACAAATTTACAGAAAGAAGATAAGAAACATTCAACGTATTTATAACCTTTTTTAAGATATCACATTTTACGAATACATTTTATAAAATCAATTTTTAAACACTTGATTCAAAACGGCAAATACATTTTGAAACATTTTATGAAAAATCAAATTTCCATCTATTACACATCTTTTATATTTTCATAACATCGAACAGAATAACTCATCACAACGGTCATTTGTAAACGACAATCACGTGGTACTTTGTGATTTGCCACTCGTACAAAATTGAAAATATGGCAACGACAAAACATGAATGATCAATAACACGATTATTTATAAATACAATGCATACTTTAATAATTTGATAAACGTAATGTTTCGATAATGCAGTTAATGTTGCACGAACTTTTATTTACTATGTGAGATTTTGTAAAAACAATATTAGATAAAAAGAAGCGGCAACCGTTTATAATAGTAAACGGAAATATATTGGTTGTCCTCTCTTCAACGTCTTAAATTTTTGCACTTCTGTCAGTCCTGGCAACATTAATCTCTTGAAGCTAGAAATGAGTCGTAAATATCGACTATACAATAAAATTTGAAAAACCAATCAAATTTTTAAGCAAATAACAGCGAACTATTTAAATACATAAGAAACTATAATATAAAATATGATTATAAAAAATATAAATAAACAATTAACAGAAAAATTTTAAAAATTCTAAAAACAGATAAGTTAAAAGTTATATGTATATATAATAGTTAAGCAGAAAGTAATCAATTAAAGTAATATATCATTTTTAATAAAATTCAGTATCGATAGATACCTGCCGCAAATACATTTAATATAAAATTTCGAAAAATTAAATATTTGAATAAGGATAACTTATTACTACAGAATAAATATTTTATAGTTTTTCTATAATTTAGTTCTAATGATATAAATTATATTATCGATAGATTTTCATAACCATTTATAGATATTTATATATGTATAGTCAATTCAACAAGAAAATCGTAGGACCGTTTTGCGCAGCTGACAACTAGACTCGTGAATTCCCTACTCTCCTTACTTATAGTATTACCTGTTACAGTATGATTCGATTTTTATTTTATTAAAATTAGCGGTATATTTTCTTACAAGGATCAAGAGCAAGATAGTCAACAGAATATTATCGGCATTTTTTTTACAGCAGTAATCGTGAATGATGTTATAAAAATATACGTATACTTTTTATTCAAAAGTAAATTATTTGTGTTCATAGAAAATAGCAAAAATTACCGATAACTGTTGCATAATTAATTTTAGTTCGAAAGTAATTAACAGAAGCTGTATATTTTTTGTTATCTACTTGAACAACTTCATTATTAGAACGAATTTCACAAAATAGGTACACAAATTAAAGTAGGAAATTGAAAGGTAGAAACATTTTTAGTTATGATACATGTATATTATACATACATTTGATAAAGGAATAATAAAAGTTACATACATGAAAAAAATCACACTGATTTTTTGGTATCTTGAAACATCTAGCGTTTCAACATCTACATACGTATCATCCACAAGTACCCATATATACATTATATACATTACTTATAGGATTACTCCAAAACTAATCTATTTACAATTATTAAATAAAATTGAATAAGCAAAGTACACAGTTCATTCACAATGTTCATAATCCTCTGACTTGTCTTGGGATGCCCAAATTATGTCACATTCCTGATGAAAATACTGGATGTAATTTTATCTAAAACTATCTATAGTCTTTATACATTTACCAAAATACACGATTTTGCTTTGTAAAAATTCTAAAATCTCACTAACAATGTCACTCTTAAATTTTAGGTCTGCCGATTTTTTTTAGTCATTGTTCTAATACATGGGTATGGAAGATTTTGATGTAAAATTTCTTTGTACCCAGTTGTTCCACAAGCAAGTCTTAATTTATAAGTGTTCGTTAATTGTTTGTTCGTCTTGTTGCACCAACGAGGAACTTTCTTGTATGTTTTTGTTAATACTTTAATTTGGTCATTATTTAAGATTTCACTAACAGATTCATTTAATTTTTCTGAACCAGCATTTCTTTGCAGACTTATAATTTTATTTTCCAATGTTTTAATACAACGTTTTGCAGCATATAGTTCTTTTTTGAATCTTAATCTTGATTTTTCAGTAGCTTCTAATACTTTCTCCAACCTCAGCAGTCTTTCTTGTATTTTATGATTTTCATTATCCTTGCAAAAAGATGTTTGTTGTAATGGTAGTTCATCACTAGCTTCTGCATTTGGTTCTGCAATTTCTGGCATTTCATTTGTAACCTCTGTATAATTATAATTACGTTTAGTGCAAAACTACCTTACTTTATAATTCTTCCAGAGATAAATACTTTACCATTTTCCGACATTATATCTTCCTCTTTCACAATAAAGGCAGGCTCAGGTTTCAAAGATTGATATAGAGCTTCTGAAAATGTTAAAAAATTAGTTTCATTGTAATTCCTGTCAAAAACCTCCATTCTTACCTGTTTTTAATTCAGTTTGTGTGGGTTCTTGTACTTCCTGTTTAATTGTATTCACTGGTATGTGTTTACCAAAAATTGTTGGAACTGCATCAGATTTTAAACGTCGCTTCCCATCTCGAGTCTTTTCCCACATATCCTCTGTAAAATGCACCTGAAAGAGTTATTATATATATTTATTGGAGATGTCATTATTTTTTTCTATTATATTGGATAACTTAAAAATTGGATTGAACATATTATACTTATTCTCCACAACTTCTTGAAATAAAATAGATCTTACAAAATAACTGTGAACTTCATGAGTTCCTAAACTTACCTACTAAAAGTAGAACATTCACTTTTATCTACACAATTACAAATTAAAATTAAATAAATAAAATAAGCAATACTAAAACTTATTTATAATATAAAGAAATACATTTTTTAAATAAACCAAGTTTATGCTAGAGTAAAGTTTAACTAGAATATGTATTATATGCACAAATAAATTACCATCATGCATATTAATTTGTTACATTAATTTACACTAACATGACACAGTGATGCTGCAGGACCAGGAATCCAATCCTCTCTATTGATATTAGCAATCCATGTAGTTCTTCTTTTTTCATTTCGAGGTATCCTGCACATCTGAAATCCTTTCTGCGATGAATTGACACAATAATCTGCACTGCAACCTCCCATTTTTTCCCTACAATAACAGCATATTCAGTAACTTACGTAGCCTCTATTTCTTTAAATCAACAAAATAATATGAAAAGTATGAAATTGTTATTACTGTTTATTAACAATTAGTCCACTTTAAATTGTATAACAATTAAAATATAATACTTACTTATTATTAAATAAGTCGCAAGAGATTTAATAAAATATTTGTTTTGCTCATTCGCTCTTATTCAATATTTCTTGCGTTTTTATTTGTATTTCTGTCTTTCTCTTTCTTTTTTATCTATTTCCGGTTTTGCTACAAATGATGAAAACCAATCATTGATAGTAATATGATATACCAATTCAAAAGTTCTACTATCACTATCAAGTTGTGAAATATGAAACCACAATTTAATTTGAAACTTTGCCGTTAGATGACGATAGTAATACTGTGAAAAGATGTGATTCACAATCGGTAACACTTTTCACACCTCATTTTTACATTTTAGCTACTTTCGAAATACCTGTTTAGTCTCAGATATTTTAAACAATTATAAAACTTAGAAAGATTAACAAAGTTTTTACATAATATGATATAGAACTAATATCGCATACAACCCTTTCATATTTACAAATTTCTGATAATATATTCATAAGCAATTTTAATGCATGTTTATACTTTGCAATTGACTAATTCTCTGAACTTGGTATTTGTTTAAATAATTCGTATATAACTAATGACTTATCCAAACAAATTATGCCTAGTTTATTTGATGATATCCGCTGTGGCTTAATTATACTTGCCAGTGGTCATATTGGTTGCGAGAATCGCGATTTGCGGATGGCCCTCTAGTGAACGCAGCGGAATTAAGTTTGCAATCTTCGTTTTCGTTACATCCCTCGTTTTCTTCTCAGAACATGAACTTCCTCCTACAAACAATTTAATTATATACACTATTTACAAAGGATAACTTAACCTAATCTCAGTCTACATCAACCTAGGCTTAGTTTAGTCTTAATTTCTCTAGGGGTGCTGATGGAAGCCCGAATCCCTAATTTTCCTTAGCGTAACATCTTCAACACCAGGATGCACCGCATGACAATGTAATTAAGCCGGAGTGACTTTGAAACACCGTTTTTAGTTCTATTGTTATTTCACCGTTATAATTATGTGACACCTGGCAGTTGGTGACAGGATAGCACCGTGATAACTCCGCATTATTTTCTTGTTTTTTCTGAAATGACGGAAACCTTCATAGGTACTTACCCAGGCTCCTGGAGAGTCAATGGGGACTGAAATTACACCGCATCCCTATCGGTTAGTACAACCATTACTGCTTGTCCCGGCTCGGGACAAGTTCGGCAGCGTGAAATTATGCTATCATTCCGGACTCGCCCCGCATCCAAGGACGCCCACGACTTCTGTCCCCTCTCTTAATTATATTCATCTAACTTTGTCCGAACCTTCAGGCAGCACCCATTCTATGGTTTCGCAATGGTGTTTGGGCGTGATGGCTCCCAACGGATGACTTTGTCGTAGGGTCATTTACAACACTGTTGATTTTCTGCTTCTCAATATGTGGGAGGCCTACTGGGTCAGCCTGCCTGGTGGTTAATACGACGGAGACCATCTTGGTCGTTATAGAGCGACGAATAACGGCAAACGACGGATGATTGGATTGCTGGGCTTGATGGACTGGTATTGCTCTGTGAGCTAGTGTTTTGTGGATAGCTATTGCTAAGGGTGACCAGATTGTTCTCCCCGTGGCGGTATCGGATCATGAAAACGTAACGCTTCAATTTCATGTTCCATTGGGTCAACCGATCAGACGGGCCCTAGATGTTATACAGTTACTTTAACCACTGGTGATTGTCAGTACCGTGAAATAGAATCCCTCAGGGTACTACTCTTACAGACATCCTCACGAAAACTGCTCTTTCCTTCGGGTAGAACTTCGCAAAGATGATTAATAGGAAGTGTTTAAATTTTGGGAGTTCTTCATTGAGTAGATTCTGTAGTGCTTGCTGTTTGGTATCCACTTTATCGATTCGACAGATTCGTGTGTCTCTGCTTCATTGACATATTCCTATCGGTATTGACTGATCTGGACAGACGTCCGCATTCCTTCTCAAATGTCTGTGCTTAGTTAGTTTGTCTAGTTGTGAAAAGGTAAGGCGACGTATCAATTACAGACGGTTGCCCATCGATGATCTGTATGTCGATCTTTCCGATGATGCTTCTTTCGGCTTCATCGCTGACGCGTACCATCTGCTGACTTGAATGGCAAGGATTCTTCCGTCATTGACATAACGCCGCTATGTTGCTACTTATATATAGGAAAGCGTATTCCTGGTGTCCACAAGAGCGTGGTATCATCGACTGAAACGATGAACATGAGATGTATTCGACCGTCCACTTCTATTTCTCGCCGGGATGTGCTTGGGCGGCCCGGGTCGGGCTGCTCCTCGTTCGTTTACTAGGTAGCAGCATCCCGGGTGTCATGCACGGACAAGTGGTTCTACAGTTGGGGATGTATCTGTAGAATAACCAACTTCACCATCAACATTCGGTCCTCCGGAAGCCGTGTGGTACACATCGCTAGAAAACAAGTGGCTCGATTCCTGGTCTAGTTTTATGACAGTATGTCGGACAGGGTGGTTGTATTTGCAGGTGGATGCGCTCGTGTGATTCATTTCCTTAGTTCCTTGAAGTCTGTCACGAACTGGGATAGGTCCGAGCAGGTGTAGATGTTGTCCTTATGAATGTAGCGGCGATATTCCAGACAGAAGTTTCCGTAGAGCCAAGTAGGTTGATCCTCTGCACTGAGATCCCTTCAGTGATGCAAGAAGGTTTCGAATGTAATTATGGCCGAGGCGGCTTTTCTTGGTCATTGCTTTCGGTGACGAATGCGTTCCACGAGATCTCCGAATCACTACGGTGGGGAAATGATTGTTCGCAAAATTCTTGCGGGATATGTTCCACTATATTCATGTTTAGTGATGGTTTAAGTACCAGATGAATGTTCCACCTCGCAGTAGTACCGATACGCAACATTGTATTCTCTTTGGAAGATCGTGACATTTTCCAAGTCCCTCTAACTGGTCGAAACAGTCGTCTACATCTTTTCCGTTAAAATAGAGACCGCTTTTTCCGGAGATAATTCAATATTTGCAGGTCCGGTTGTGGTGGAGTTCCGGGCTCTGCGGTAGTGCTACCCTACTGAGGTCGGTGTTCTTGTCATTGGTCGGGCGCCAATATAACGTATTGTTTTCGACGTGATTGCGGACTCTGTCGGAATGTCGGGTTCAGGTAATGAGTAAAATAGAGCTTTCTAACGCAATTTATTGTTGATTTTTTCTATGTACAATATGTGCTGTTCTCATCTGATCAATTTCAGCTTTAACCTAATCTTAACCCAATACGATCTTACTATGGTTCTATCTAATTCTATCTATTTATAATTCATATTTTATTCGCGCATTTACTCATGCTAATCGTGGCAGAATACGGTTCGATTAGGTCCACTAAAACGTATTTCGCTTTGTAATTCAAAACAGTACCTTCGGGTAATCAATTGGTGCGCTGGTGTCGCTACCAACACATATTCATGATATCAGTGAAATACGCACATGTAAAGTCCGTATGCGTATACATAGTTTTCATGCAAAATGAAATATCGAAATTCTCATCACAATTTATTTTTGATGGAATATGGGAAGTTATAATAAGGGATGTTACAAAAACACAACAACTTTTAAAAAAACTAAATGAATTTATTATTTAAGAAAAACGGCTTGGAAGGACTTCTTTAAAATTTGTTAATTACACTTGATTTATGAATATTGAAAATACAATTCTAAATAACCCACTATATTTTATACGTGTGAAAAATTATAACATCAGAAAAACAATAGCAAAGAAATGTGTAGATTTCATTTTATTAACATACGAAGATCCGATCAAAATCGAGCAGTATCTTACAAGTAATCGATAAATGCACGAACTTGATTACTGACTTCTCAATACATTTATTTTTGCTAATTTCATTGAAATGAAAATTCAACAATTTTATTCAGGGAAAAGATGAACACAATGTTTAGAAATATAATGAAATATATTAAACAAATTGATCAAAATTTACATTGAAAAGAAGTATAACATTTCAAATAATCACGCCATTGTCTTACAAATTTTGTACATTATATTGAACAAACATTCACACCAAAAGTTACAAGAGAAAAAGTAACAAACTTATAATATAATATGAAAACAAAGATATACAAACATACAGTACATAATAATAAGGGTATCAATGAGCTTGATCGTAAATGGAGAGTGCGCTCACCGCTCATAATCGATGTGACAGAGACAACTAAATAAGTGAATCTCTGTTTCAGTCGCACTGTATTCACCTGGTCGTTGACTCGAAGGGGAAAGGGATATTCCCTTTCCTAGAGCTTCCCTTGATGTTTATAAAAATGATGGTAATTTCCGCAGGAACGTGACATCACGACATTTTTCTCACGTGCGATGATACAGGAAATAAGGGACATGTAGCAGAGTAGCATCAGTACTTACTTTGAAGATGCGAATGGTATTAAAATTAGCTTCACATTCTCAACAATAGTTTGGAGGACTTACGGAGATCTAGTCGGATTGGCAGTGTTCATAATAGACTAATTATACCTTTTCTGGTGAGATTGGTTGTGCAAATCGCTATACACAAGTGGCCCTTTGGCGATTATGATGGAACTAAGTTAACGGTTTTCGTTTTCTTTGCACCTAATATGCACTAATATATGTAGTACAAATGGTATTTAGTAAAAGGGGATAAATTATTTTTCTTTAATTCTTATCGTAAGCTTTAATAATTCACAAAGATAAAAGATTGTATTTGCAGCTCATGAAAAATTGTCGTTCAATACTTAGTTAATTATTCAGTCAACTACTTGCTAAATTTATAAGTTAAAATAATTAACAATGTTAATATATAGTATTTAAATAGTACAGAACTTCTATTTAAACATATCTTCGAATATTACAAGTAAAATGATCGACATTTTCATGGGTTGTACCCTTCATCTTTACATTTGATACTGATCTCAATTTTTGTCTAATGACTTTATGTAAATGGTGCATTCAGTGACTTCAAAGTCTGCTTTCATTTATAGTAAGCTATTTCTTTTATTTATTTTATCTTGAATTTCTCTTTTTTTATTTTTTTTATATTTTTTTAGTACTTTCTCAATTTTTCTTGAAATCGTTTTTAATTTTTCTAGTTCAAATTCTTTCGATTTTGTACATTTTATAAAAAATAATGATGATAGAATTTGAGATTGTTGTATTTGTTGTTTTTTTTATATTATACTTGTATCTGAAATATTACTTACATGACTGATGTTTTTAACAATTTTCGTAAAATTAAAAGATAGGTTTCCTGCAGAAGACTGATATGAGATAATAATATTAAGTGATACCATTGAATTCTCAAAAGTTAATTAAAAGTTCTTTACATTATCTGCAA